GGGAAACCGGAGCAACCGGAGGAAACCCACGCCAACACGGGGAAAACATCGACCATCAATCAATCAATCAATCAATCAATCAATCAATCAATCAATCAATCAATCAATCAATCAATCAATCAATCAATCAATCAATCAATCAATTGTTGTTAAACCATAAATTGATTGTTTAATTAATCATTCAATCAAATAATCAATCAAATATTTTGTAAATTAATTGTTCAACCCATCAGTCAATCAAATCAAATGATCAATCAGTGATTCAGTCAGTTGATTGTTCAAAAAATCAATCAATCAAGCAATCAATCAATCAATTAATCAATCAATCAATCAATCAATCAATCAATCAATCAATCAATCAATCATATGTTCAAGTGTTGCTTAACCATTCAATTGATTCTTTAATCAATCAATTAGTTTACCAAATATTTTGTCAATCAATTATTCAAGCCATTAATCAATCAAATCAAATGATTAAATCAGTCAGTTAATTTATTGTAAAAAAAATCAATAAACCAATCAATCAATCGATCAATTGTTCAATCAATCAATCAATCAATCAATTGTTCAACCAATCAATCAGTCAATCAATCAATCAATCAATCAATCAATCAATCAATCAATCAATCAATCAATCAATCAATCAATCAAGTATTGTTTAACCAATCAATTAATTATTCAAATTTTCAGTCAACCAGTTGTTCAACTTATCAATCAAACCAATCAAATGTGCAATCATTCAGTCAGTCAATCAAACATTAAAAAAATCAATCAATCAACCAATCAATTGTTGTTCAACCAATCAATCGATTGTTCAATCAATCATTCAGTAAATCAGTTCAGTCAATAAATTGTTTAACCCATCAATCAATTAATTGTTCAACTCATCAATCAAATCAAATGATCAATCAATCAATCAGTCAATTGATTGTTAAAAAAATCAATCAATCAATCAATCAATCAATCAATCAATCAATCAATCAATCAATCAATCAATCAATCAATCAATTGTTGTTAACCCATAAATTGATTGTTTAATTAATCATTCAATCAAATAATCAATCAAATATTTTGTAAATTAATTGTTCAACCCATCAGTCAATCAAATCAAATGATCAATCAGTGATTCAGTCAATTGATTGTTCAAAAAATCAATCAACCAATCAATCAATCAATTGTTCAATCAATCAATCAATCAATCGTTCAATCGTTCAATCAATCAAGTGTTTCTTAACCATTCAATTGATTGTTTAATCAATCAATTAATTTATCAAATATTTTGTCAATCAATTATTCAAGCCATTAATCAATCAAATCAAATGATTAAACAATCAGTCAGTTAATTGATTGTTCAAAAAAATCAATAAACCAATCAATCAATCAATCAATCAATCAATAATTTAATCAATCAATCTATCAATCAATCAAGTGTTGTTTAACCAATCACATAATTAATCAAATTTTCAGTCAACCAATTGTTCAACTTATCAATCAAACCAATCAAATGTGCAATCATTCAGTGAGTCAATCAAACATTAAAAAATTAATCAATCAATCAATCAATCAATCAATTGTTGTTCAACCAATCAATCGATTGTTCAATCAATCATTCAATAAATCAGTTCAGTCAATAAATTGTTTAACCCATCAATCAATTAATTGTTCAACTCATCAATCAAATTAAATGATCAATCAATCAATCAATCAGTCAATTGATTGTTAAAAAAATCAATCAATCAATCAATCAATCAATCAATCAATTGTTCAGTCAAAAAATTAATCAAGTGTTGGTCAACCAATCAATTTATTAAGCAATTAATTATTCAAATATTCAGTCAATCAATTGTTCAACCTATCAATCAATCCAATCAATCAGTCAGTCAGTCAGTCAGTGAATGGATTGTTAAAAAAATCAATAAATCAATTGATTGTTCAATCAATAAATTAATTATTGTGCAACCAATAAATCGATTGTTCAACGAATCATTAAATCAATTAATTAATTAAAATTTCAGCCAATCAATTGTTTAACCCATCAATCAAATCAAATGATCAATTAATCAATCAGTTAATTGATTGTTCAAAAAATCTATCAATTAATTGTTAAATCAAACAATCAAGTGTTGTTTAACTAATCAATTAAGCAATTAATTAATCAAATATTCAGTCAATCAATTAGTCACATCAAATGATTAATCAATCAATCAAACAATCAATCATTTGATTGTTCAAAAATCAATGAATCAATCGTTCAATCAATCAATTGTTCAATCAATCAATTAGTCAATTGTTTAATCAATTAATTAATCAAATATTCAATGAACCAATTGTTCAACCTATCCAATCAAATGTCCAATCAACCAACCAGTCAATCAAACATTTTTAAAAATCAGTCAATTATTCAACCAGTCAATTCAATCAATAAATTGTTTAGCCTATCAATCAATCAATTAATCAATTAAACTATTAATCAATAAATCAAATAATTGTTGCTTAACCAATAAATCAATTAAATAATCAAATATTTAGTGAGTCAATTGTTCAATCAATTCAAAGGTTCAGTCAATTCATTATTCTGTCAATCGTTCAAATAATCTATCAATATATCAATTGTTCAATCAATCCATAAATCAATAGTTGCTAAATCAATCAATTGTTCAATCAATCATTCAATCAAATCAATAAATCAATCAAATATTCAGTCAATGAATTGTTTAACCCATCAATCAATCAATCAAATCAAATGTTCAATCAATCGATTAGTCAATCAATCGTTTAAAAAAATCAATTGATGTTCAACCAATCAGTTAATTGTTTAATTAGTTAACTGTTAATTAAACAAATATTCAGTCAATCAATTGTTAAAAAAATATCAATTAATCAATTCTTCAATCAATCAATCAAATGTTAAATGTTCAATCAAACAATCGATCAAAAAATCTATTATTCAATCAATCACTTACTCAGTCAACCAATCAATAAACTGATCAGTCAGTCACTCCCTCAGATGTGTGCAGGACGTACGGCAGCGGCGTGTTCTCCAGCTTCAACGGGACGCTGTTCCACCTGAAGTCCAGCTGCGCAGTGACGCTCACACACTTCACTCACGCCGGGGCGGACTGTCACGTCATCGTCCAGCGCGGGACGACCGGCCTGATGGACAGAGTGGAGATCATCGTCAACAAAATCACCACGCTCGTCCACAACAACACCGTGACCGTCGACGGCAGCAGGTCCCACATTTAGCACATCTGCGAACAAACAGAGATTTGAGTTCAATAAAAGTCACGAGAACGTATATTCGTAGGGTTATTATTGTAGTTCTATGATTGATCCAGTCATATTTGACATATTAGCTTTTTTAGCATATTAGCATTAGCATGGCTTCTTAGGATGGGACAGTAATCGCCTTTAAAGTTGTTCAAATTACGTTGTTAGCAATGCGTATTACTAACCGAAATTGAGTTTGGATATGTTTACAGTAGGAAATTGATTAAATATCTTCAAGGAGTATAATATTTACTTAGTATCATGATGATTTTTGGTATGCAAAACAATATTTTTGACCCATTCGATGCATTTTTCGGAACAATAAGCAAACAATAAGACTTTTCCTTGATTCAGGGTTTTATATTACAATAATAGCAGTAGATGAAGTATATAAATCATGTACTTCATATACTACAGCAATTAATTTTATTCAAAGTATAAAGTTGGCAACTAAAATCAACGAAAAGGTGCTAAGTTCTGCCCGAAAAGTCGCTAGATCACATCATACATCAATTTGCATATTACTGACGCCATCACGTCCAACCGTTTCTGTTTAACAGCCTATGGTAAAGGGGTATTTATATATGCGCAACACTTTATGTGTATGTCAATTTATTGTAAATTTAACGTTAACTTACAAAAATTATTTGAATACAGTAGAGTTGTGTAGAGAATTTGCAGTGATCTCTCAGACGTAATAAACTCAGACAAGTTCTGTAACGGTCACTAAAATATCTGTGATTGTGAACAAAAAAAGAATAAACGATCAAATTAAATTGTTAAATTTAAAACGAAGAAGAAGCAGATCGGTTTCACTGTACATGGGAAATACCTCACACTTGCGGTCGGTACACAGAGGGGTGATCTGCAAGAGTCTACGAGAGTCTATAAAAATTCTCTAGTTACACCAAAAAAGTAACTAGATTGGTCGTTTCTTTGAAAATTTGTTGCTGTAAACTCTGAAAAGCCTCGGCGACAGGTTTTGAGAAATCGCAGACAAATGCCTGAAATCAAAGGCAAATCAATGCTCGTGCATGTGAGTTACAGTCACACAGTATCAACTATCAAAGACGCCATCTGAGGATCGCCGATGAGTCGCTGATGCCTGTGAGATATTTGGCGTGCTGAATATCTGCCGCTGTCGGCGATTTAAGTCATGCCATGCGAGATGAGCTTTAACTGAAAATGACATCGGCGATCGCCTACAGCCAATGAGAGGAGATATATCCAGCTGGAGAGCCGCAGAACCACACACGTTTTAGGCGCACACAATCCAGCACACGCGATTTAGGCAAACCATACATGGTTACTAACTAACTCCTGAGCATTATCGCCACCTTTTGAATTTCACAAATATGGGTTCCCATATCATTATTATATCGTAACGATAATTTAACATCTCTGCCGTTTCTGAACTCAAATTATGTAAATAAAAATAATTGGTTAAAGACACTCATGACTTTATTCATGTGTCCACATAAACAGAGAAAACATAATAGACCGTCTAATTGTAGGATTAAGTGTAATAAACAAATTCAGGGTCTTATCCGTACGTTTACATCGAAAGCGGCGAGAGCGTCAAAGTAGCCGGAAGTCATTAATTTTCAATGAGAGCCGGCAACGATAAGCGGCGAGGAGCAGCACGGCACGTCTTCCCCGGCGTGGGCGTCGAGGAGAGTTGAAATCAAGTCAACTTTATGGTAATGAGCTATGATGCAGTTCGGCGGCGACCAATCAGAATGAAGACGTCCACCGCTTGATAGGAGTTCAGAGAATACAGACCTGTGAACTTTGGTTCCGACCACAGTTGTACTCAAGGGTTTGATGATTGCGGTAGCCGGATTTCCAATTATTTGCAATGTTTTCTTAAAGGAACATGCATTAAATAACTTACTGGCGAGTTACTAATGTTTATTAATGTTATATAAATTTACCCTAAAAGAGCTGGTATCTCACGCGATGTGACAGTACAAAACAGTACTGCTGCTTCAGGATATTTCAGACATATGGACACATATTAGATAAATAGAGCAAAGCCACACCACGCGCAACTTGATCTTCCATTGTTAAATGAATTTGATAAGAAGTGCGCAACATTTTCACGCTAGAAACATGTTTTATGCAGGAATTTAACTGATATGCTGCAACGGCTCCTTTAAATACGAGATCAGTGTAGCGAGTTTTGACGCTCTCGCCGCCAGAGCTGAAGGCAGACAGCGTTTTCGCCAGGGTGGCCAGAGCGTCCTTGGATGCTCTTGCTGCTTTCGGTGTGAACGTATAATATTATCATAATTGGTTAAAAGCACTTTGTTGTAGAATATAAAACGCAAACAATAGTGTGTCAAATTAAAACGAATAAGCCTACTATAGTTAATCATTTAAACAATATATAATATAGTTATAAACTGATTATTCTAACTGATTATCTGATTATACACTACTATCTTTTACTAAACTGTCACAGTTTAGTATATATATATATATATATATATATATATATATATATATATATATATATATATATATACGTATATATAGTATAGTATATATATATATTTAGTTTAGTATATATATATATATATATATATATTTACTTATTATTTTTTATTAATTACTAATAGTTATTTTTTTCTATTAAATTTATTGCTAAATTTTGGTTCAAAAACTATATATTACTATAAATTACCCTAGTAGCAAAGAATTCTGGCCCAGATTTGGCATAAAGCTGGCACAGCAGGCATTCATCCGGCACTGGCATACAGCATGTGGGCCAAATTTGGCCCGAGTTTGGCAGAGAAGGCACTGTCTTTAAGGCGGCACACAAGATTTGGGCCAGATGAAAAACGTAGTATTTGGCCCAGAATTAAAAATTTGACTAGTGGGCCATGTGAGTTTGGCCAGTCTTGACCCACATTTAAAATACACTAAAATAATTTTTGAGTAAAGAAAAAAATTCTACCAATCAGGTCACTTTGAGAAAAAGCGTGCTCATAAAGCGCATCACTCCATGGGTTTATCAATTTCACTGCACTCGTGACACACCAACCTATATGGCCCAGTTCAGGCCCAGTTATGAGTTATTAACTTGGCTGAGACTTGGCCCAGATATGGTCGGTGTTTGGCCCTTGTCTGGAAGCCAGATTTGGTCCAGTCATGTACCGTAATTCACTGCGGCACGTGGGCCAAGCAAAACCTGATTGTGTGGGCCAGAGCTGGGCCAGAGAAATTTTGCTATGTGGGTACAGTATTAAATGTGGGAAATCGTTCATTAAAAGGTTATTAGAAAATTAAGCAAATACATACTATTACATCGAGTAAAATATTAATAAAGTGTAATACATTTGTTACATGTAAGATTTTTATAACATATAAAATGTGTTCTTGCCTATAACATGCTATTATTTCCTTCATCATACATGAATGCATTAAATTAAACCTGTCCAATTTAGATCGTTCAGCAAGGCCAGCAAACGAGTATCTGCCATATTACTGTCAGATAATATTGACTGATCATCTATGATGACTGATAGAAAACTGTTCAGTCTGTTATATTGAATGGCGATCGGAAATAACGCCCCTCATTCGCCCGTCTCGACCGCAATATTTGTGAAATAGAGTAAACACTATTGTTTATTGTGTACAATCTTTATTAACCATATATATCCAAATATATCGATGACGATGTTCAAATAGACGTTCATAACATTAACATCCGTCGTAACCATATATGGTTTGCCTAGAAGGTGTGTGGTAGATTGTGTGTGCCTAAAACATGTGTGGTTCTGCGGGCCTGCAGCTGGATATTATGAGGGAGCAGCATTCACTAGACGTGTGTGTGTGCCAGCGCCGGCCAGCGAGAGGCTGGGGAGAAGTTAAAAGTGCCCCATTTCAGTTTATTAGGACCCAAGAAATGGAGGAAACACTATTGGATCTTTGACAGGGGCACCCGTGTCTGTTTGACGTTTCATACAGAGAGTTAAGAAAGAAAGTTGTGGAGAAATGGCTAATTCCCTTCAAACATAGGTGAGCAAATTTGTACATTTTCTACCCCATTAAAGGCTTCTTTATCGTTATCTAGTTAATTACAAAATATATACGACGTGTTTTTGTTTGTGAGAGTAGTTTGGATGAAGTTGTCGACTATTCTTCCTATTGTAATGTGAAAGCCCCTGTCGCCGATCCATCTTGCAGTGTAAACAAAGCAGCGACGCTAGCTCAGATATTAGTCATGCAGTGTGAAAACATCCGTTGAACGACTAAGTTACTTTGAAAATCATGCCGTCTGAACTCGGCACTGCTGGAGTTGTATGTGGTACTTGATTTTTTTTTTTTTTATTGAAGTAAAAGTAAAAAATAGTTTATCACTATTTGGTTAAATTTGTCCTGAACGGAATGTCACTATCTTAGTATTCGGACCCTACTGAAAAAAAACAGCCTAAACCAGCCTAGTATGGTTGGCTG